TATCTGGAGAACTTCTGCAGAGCTTGCTTCTGCAGAATTTATGACGAGCTGCAGTAGAGTTTCTGCAGAGCTTCTGCAGTGCTTCTGCAGACCTTCTGCAGAGCTTCTGCAGCTCTTCTGCAGAGCTTCTGCAGAGCTTCTGCAGCCCATTGGCAGAGCTTCAGCAGAGCTTCTGCAGAGCTTTTGCAGAGCTTCTGCAGAATTCCTGCAGAGTTTCTGCAGAACATTGGCAGAGCTTCTGGACAGCTTCTGTTGTTATTCTGAGGAGCTTCTGCAGAGCTTCTGCAGAGTATCTGGAGAACTTCTGCAGAGCTTGCTTCTGCAGAATTTATGACGAGCTGCAGTAGAGTTTCTGCAGAGCTTCTGCAGTGCTTCTGCAGACCTTCTGCAGAGCTTCTGCAGCTCTTCTGCAGAGCTTCTGCAGAGCTTCTGCAGCCCATTGGCAGAGCTTCAGCAGAGCTTCTGCAGAGCTTTTGCAGAGCTTCTGCAGAGCTTCTGCAGAGCTTCCGTAGCCGCAGAGCTTCTGCAGAGTTTCTGCAGAGATCCAGCAGAGCTTCTGCAGAGTTTTCGAAGAGCTGCAGGAGAGCTTTTGCTGAGGTTCTGGGGAGCTTCTGGAGAGCTTCTGAAGAGCACCTGAAGAGCTTCTGCAGAGTTTTTTTTGCAGAGCTTCTGCAGAGCTTTCGCAGAGCTTCTGCAGAGCTCCTGCATAGCTTCTGCAGAGCTTCTGCAGACCTTTTGAAGAGCTTCAAACAAGGATTCAACATAATTTTCTGCGAGGCCTCTGGCAGGCTTCAGCGAAGCCTTTCAGATGCTTCTCTGAGGCCTCAGAGAGGCTTCTCTGAGAGGCTTCTCTGAGGCCTCTGAGAGGCTTTTCCGAGAGGCTACTCTGAGGCCTCTGAGAGGCCGAGGCCTCTGCGAGGACTCCGCGAGGCCTCTGACAGGCTTCTCTGGGGCTTCAGCGAGGCTTCCGAGAGGCTCCCCCGGAGGCGTCAGGGAGGCTGTTTGAGAAGGCTTATTATGAATTATAATGGCCCTTTATTCGTAGCTCAATTGCGCGCTCTATCACGAGCTTTAGTGCGCACTCTATTCGGAGCTCTGTTTCGGCGTTCTCTTCGGAACTCTATTGGGCGTTTCATTTGGCGTTCTATTGGGCGCTCTATTCGGAGCTCGATTGGGCGCTCTATTCGGCCATCTTGGGGATCCCCGAAGATTTTCAAATATTCCCGGAAGTTAGAGATTCCCTCGTAGAAATCCCGAAGATTCCCGAACAAGACCCTCGTAGGATTCTGGTGGATTCCTCAGACGAATCACGCTGTACTCGTATACGATTCACATCGGAACCGTATACGACTCACATAGGAATCGTCTACGAATCGCATAGGAAGCGTATACGAACCACATGGGTATCGTATACGGATCATGGCCACGTTCGAGCTCCAGTACATGTGTTTTGCTGAGATCATGATCGGCCGTCGGTGATCGGACCGATCGCAACCGGTTTTTCAGATTCCCTTTGGGCGGCTTAAGGGAGTTCAGTGCACCCAGAAGCGCTCTTATGATCTCTCTCTTCATCGAAACCTGGCTGCAACGACCCACAAGCATCGCCACCACTTCGGACCGATCGCAACTGGTTGTGATCCAGTCCGAAGTGGTCGACGATCGGTCCGAAATGGTTGCGGTCGGTCGCCATCGCGACGCTCCTTCTCTGCGAAGGCCGCGCTTCTGTGGCGGGGTGCAGCAGGGGTTGTTGCACGTGCTCCGCCAACGGGCGTGGCAGCACGTGCATCCTATTTCAAGGCAGTTTTTGTCCTGCCGTTCGTCATTCCTCGCCCTTCCCGCACGTGCTCGGCCAGAGAGGCCAAGAAAATGTGATGACATCCAAGGACCAGCAAATTACGGCTTCGACATTTCATCAGAAAGCCAGTCAATGCCCCAAGGCTGTTCAGCGATCTTCCCGACGAACCCGCAAGCCAAGATTTGCGTGTCGTGACACCGATTTGGCAACCCTGGACGGCGCCATTGGTGCCGAAGACACCTTGCCCCCATCAAGACAGCGCCTAAACAGCCCCAGAGCCAGTCCAAGGAAGCCCTGCGACATCCCATAATCGACTCAAAACGGTCGCAACCCTTCGCCGACAGCGAGTCGCCCGCGCCATGGACGGGGCTAGAACTTAAGCGCGCGACGCGCGCGCGTGGTTCTAGTCATAGTACAACAAGAGTTCAGTAGTAGTATCATAACATGGGGTCGACTTGAGTCGAGTAGACTGGAGCAGAGAACGTGTAGAGTTAAGTAGCGTAGAGCAGGGCCAAGTCGAGTAGACAAAAGTCGACGGCAGCGCAAGAGAGGTATCAGAGATAGGGCCAGAGTCGATGGAAGAGTAACGCTGGGTGACGTCGAGCAGCGCAGGGTACAGTAGAGAAGTTGGAGTAGAGCCGAGTAAGAGTAGATGCCTGCTCCCCAACGGCCTCCTCTAGAATCCCCCGAAGCTCCCTAGAGGCGCCCCTGAGGCCATCCAAGGATAATTGTTTTTTCGCGCGTCTCTTCGTGGATCCCCCTGCTGAGCGTAAGCCCATGCAGGTTTCCCTGCGGCGCTGTGAGGGATCTGAATGCCTCCAGAAGCTTTCGCGGACAAGCGAAACACCCGGACGAACACCATGTCCGAGCGCCAGCAAGGCATCCTGTCCGTAGCCGTTCGGCCCAAGACCCCTCCTGGAGTTTGGACAAGGAGGGGGTCTACTGCTTACCATGTTGACTCCTAACAGGTATGCTAGGTGTGTCCTCCGGGTGCTCTTGTTTCTAGGTGCGTGTATGTCTCCTTGTTGGTTTGCCATACAGTTCCACCTGACACAGACTCACGAAGTTGATGCAGTTATAGTTGACCATGCAGGGAAACTGCGATTCAACCTTCAGAATGTAGGTGTGATGTATGCGATGAGCAATTTGGAAGGAACGGTTGTATCGGACGACTACCATGTGGTCAACGGGAGAAGTACATACGCGGTTTTGGACGATCTTGTAGACGGGCTTTCGGGAACAAGGCAAGTGCCGGAGGTGCCGACAGTCCTCGATGAAAATGTCAAGAACGGCTTGTTAGAAGTCCGCAAAAGGCTCGACCGTGTGAAGAGGTATCAGCCCATGGTCCCCAACATGAACATCACAGAGATACGGGAGGTTATTCTTCAGATTAATGACGTAACACTGTATGTTGACAACCTGGTGCGCTTGGCCAGGGAGGGAGCGTATACCAGAGTGCGAGAGATTTTCTGGGTTGCAATCGCGCGGGCCTTTGTGTCGGCGTCGTGGACTTTCCTCTTGTTCTGCATCATCGGCAGCATCTGGAAACACTATTACGAGGCGCACACCAGCCTGGAGTGGTTACACAAAAGGGAGACGGCTTTGCTCAACACGATGTCTGACGTCGTCGTGACCGTTCAGGCTGGGAATAATTTCGAGGTGCTCGAGGCCAACGACAAGTTGGACCACCTCGTGGGTACACACATGCAGGGGAGGAACATATTAGAGTGTGCTGCAGACAATTGTGCGCGCGTGGAATTGGAGAAGTTCCTGGTGCCTCCATTGGGGTCCTCGCTCCCCAACAGAACATTCATGGGGTGGGTTCGTAGCTCCTGGTGGTGGAACCTCATGCCGCCCCAGGTAAGGGCAGCTCTTCCTTTGGCGCCAATGATTCGCACTACATGGTCCTGCTGGCGACCAGATGCTCCTGATACAGTAGAATTGGAGCTGATGTCAATGCCTCTATTCGAAAAAGGCACTGGTGCTATACTCTTGGCTATTCGACTGGCGCTGGAAACATCGGGCGATGCGGCAATTCTGCCTGAAGGTCTGGCTAGAGCCAGATGTCCACCTAGAGCACCACGGCCAGAGTCAGCCGCGATGCACGCACGGGTGCACGCACCGGTGGAAGATGACGAACCAGGTGACGTAGAGCAAGGAAGCCACCACAGCCTGACAGACAGTACTGCCGCATCACTGCCCCGTCGGCCGTTCAGGATTAGAGCTGGAGGTCGGAGCGAGAGTGCTGGGAGTTCCCATACGCTTCAGCCGGGGGAGGTGTCGCCAAGAACGCAACAGTCCGATTCTGGAGGCTTGTCCCATTCCGCCGAACCCCAGCCGAGCGGATGTGTGAGGATGGCATCCGTGCGTTGTCGAAACGCTGGCTGCGCCGCGCAGTTTTTTTTGCCCGCTCGGACGGCGTGTGGCGCGGGTGCGGACGGAGCGCGGGGGGTTCATTCTCTGGTTCTCTCGATGGCATGGCGACTGGGATGTTGCGGCTTTCGTGGGGGCCCACTATAGCCAAACGTTGATTTGGGCAAGACCGAAGCCCTCTTTTCGAGGGCAGCACCGTTCTGTTTGGGCCCTCAGAGGGGGCCCGCTGCCACCCTTTTCCTTCTCCGCCGAGGTGCCGGGGCTCGGGCTGTAGCTCGCTGTGTTCTTTCCTCCTCGCAGGGCGCCCGAGACCCTTGCCAGGCCAGGGATCCTCGTCACCAGGCGTAACGTGCGTTGCAGACACAGTAAGCTCTTGACGTTTCGAGTCGGTGGCGAGCCCAGCGCGGCCGTTCAAGGTTGAACGGCGCTGACGGCCTGGAAGCGGCCGATTCGGGGCTCAAGAGGCGGGGGTCAATGCAATCAGGGATCAGCCAGAGCGCCGGACCTTACAGGATCATGCAGAGCCAGGGGTGCATTGACCCGGGTTTGGGTGTGCAGGATCTTGCAGGGTCTTGCAAAGCCCGATTGGCCCGGGCCTGGAATTGACCCGGGTCAGTAGATCCCCGACCGATGTCGAACGATTTGCGCTATCGGGAAGCCGCGATGTCTTAAGGTTGAATGATCCCGCCGAAGTCGTCACGCACGAACCTGCCGTCTCTGCATAGAGCAAGGTTTTATCGGCAGGGACTGAAGAGATGTGCGTTGAGGTGGCTTCTGTTGTCAAGCGGGGTCCATTGTAATTTGGAATTGGCCACACCGATTTGGTGATTCTGGGCTGACATGGAGCTAACTAGGGACCGCCGGGTACGCCAGCTGGGAGCCTTATTCGGGGCCACCCTGGGGCCAACTTGAAGCTTCGTGGGCGTCCTTCTGAGGATCTCAGCGCCAGTCTGACGAGTCTTAGCGCAGTCGGGGCCGTCGAGGCCAAGTTGAAACTTCATTAGAGAGTCTTGGAGCCATCTTGGGGCCAGTCTAGTGCCAGCAGGTGGCTTCTGGGGACATCTTGAGGTCATCTTCGGCCTGCCTTGGGGGCCTCTTTGCACGACTGAGGGCTTCTTTGGCCTAGAGGCACCACGCTTTGGCCCTTTGAGGTTTGGACAATGCATTCAGATTTTTATAACCGTCTCACCGATTTTACTTATGGCTCAAGGCGTGCACGCCCAGTGCGCCCTACTACAGCAGATTCCTGACATCGTCGCACACCAATCCCGACGCCTCTGACCAATGCGGGGATCGTCGTCCTGACAGCCGATCCCACTGGCCATCCATCTGTGGGCTGTGTCACAAAAGCCTGGAAAACAGCACCATTGCAGTATGATGTCAATCTTCGACCTGGTAGCGGAGCTGGAACTTCGGACTTGGCTCCAGCGCTGTGCGTGATTGCGCTGACCATCTACGCTTTTAGCGCGGCCACCGCGGACCCCTTGCGCCGTCCCGCCTGCCACCGAATCGCTGGACGTTCCTGCCGCAACAGGCAGGCATGTGCGCCAAGTAAGCATCTAGCCGGAGCAAAGCAGGAGCGAGCGCATCCGTGGCCATGTGTTGCTCAGTTGCCAGCATCCGGATATGATCAGTCTGCGTCACTACTATCTGAGTATAGGGGTGTGAGCGGAAGTGGCCCCAACCGGGAAATCGGTTTCGGTTTCGGTTCGTGTCGTGCGTGCGGGCGAGGCGAAATTGCGCGAGTTCCTGCACTGGTAGAGGCCACATTGAGCCCAAAGGGCCGCCCCCCCCACCCCCCCCCCGCCCTTCCCGGCGGGCGCGTGTCCCGTGGTTGTCCCGTGGTTGTCCCGCGGTTGTCCCGTGGTTGTACCGTGGTTGTCCCGATGGTTGTCCCGCGGTTGTCCGATGGTTGTCCCGATGGTTGTCCCGATGGTTGTCCCGATGGTTGTCCCCATGGTTGTCCCCATGGGTTTCCCGATTGTTGTCCCGATGGGTGTCCCGATGGGTGTCCCGATGGATAGTTGTTGTCCCGATGGTTGTGCCGATGGTTGTCCCGACTGTTGATTCGATGGTTGTCCCGATGATGGGTGTCCTAGTGGGTGTCCCGAAGGTTGTATTAGATAGATGGATACACAGACGCCATTAACACCATCACCATCACCAGCATTCCGAATCCATTTGCGCTCAAGCCGCTTCGCCCTGCGGAGGGCTGCCAGCATTGACGCCGCAACAGCATGTCGCCGTGGAGTGGGCCGCGCCAACTCACGGTGCCAGGTTCTGCCAGCGCCGGGCCATACCGTGGGTCACGCCTGGTGAAGCAGCGCTGCTTGTACAGCGTGATCTCCCGCGTTGGGTTCGCAGAGTTCAGCTCCGCCCGCGTGATGACGGGCGAGCAACTGTTCCAAGCTCTCAATAAATTTCCGGGCGTGAGGCACGTCGACTGGAACACGTCGCAGACCTCGCAGGGGAACATTGGTAAGCACGAGCAGGGCAGCAACTGCCTGGTCTACTCCGAGCACGGCGACCCGATCAGGCCTTTCGAGCTTGAAGTGATTCGAGACCAGCACTCGAAAGACAGGAGCTTGCCTTACACAGTGACGGTGGTGTTCGAGGACCCGCCGCAGGACGTGGATTCGGAGGCATGGCGGATTTTACGTGCAGTTGTAAAAGGCAAGGAACTGTTGCTAGAGACCGCGCGCCAGTGCATGATGGGCAGCTTGGCGCGGCTTGGCGGCGCGCCAGGCTC